TCCTGGCTAACACGGTGAAACCCCATCTCTACTAAAAATACAAAAAATTAGCCGGGCGTGGTAGTGGGCGCCTATAGTCTCAGCTACTTGGGAGGCTGAGGCAGGAGAATGGTGTGAACCCGGGAAGCGGAGCTTGCAGTGAGCCGAGTTCCTGCCAGTGCACTCCAGCCTGGATGACAGAGGGAGACTCCATCTCAAAAAAAAAAAAAAAAAAACCAGTGTTGTTTTTCAAGTTCTGTTCCTGGTCTTTAAGAGTGATTGGACGCCAGGCGTGGTGGCTCACGCCTGTAATCCCAGCACTTTGGGACCCCAAGGTGGGTGGATAGTGTGAGGCCAGGAGTTCGAGACCATCCTGGCTAACATGATGAAACCCCGTCTCTAGTAAAAATACAAAAAATTAACCGGGCGTGGTGGCAGGTGCCTGTAGTCCCAGCTACTTGGGAGGCTGAGGCAGTAGAATGGCATGAACCCAGAAGGCGGAGCTTGCAGTGAGCCGAGATAACACCACTGCACTCCAGCCTCCGGCGGTACCTCCCCTGTGGGTGACAGAGGGAGACTCCATCTCAAAAAACAAAAACAAAACACACACACACACACACAATAACAACAAAACCAGTGATTGGAATAGGATGTGTGAATGCCAACAAATCCACCACTTTTATCCGTTAGCTCAGCTAACCCCAGGTGTGACCTAGAAAAAGGGCAGTCCTGCTGAGAGAGAATTTGGGACTTTGTTTCCAAGGCAAAAAGGATATTGTGAAGCAGATGAGAGACTCATTCCTGTGTTGGTTGGTTGAGCACTGAAAATTGTCTCCTTTTTGCATTCTGGCTTACAATAGCCACAGGATACTAGTAGCAGAGTCCCCAAATGTATAGCAGTGCAGTAAAATCTCACTAATCTAAATGAATGAGAAAGGCATTAATTATGAATTAATAAAGATATAAAATATAAGCCATTTGTTCATGTTTCTCACCTTCAAGTACATAAATTAACCTGCCATCTTTACGAATAGTATCTTTAGAGGCTCTATTTTAATAATTGCTTCATCAGTCTTGCTTTTATTATGAAATTAGCAACTAGTGGCCAGGCGTGGTGACTCACACCTGTAATCCCAGCACTTTGGGAGGCCAGGGCAGGTGGATTATGAGGTTAGGAGTTCCAGACCAGCCTGGCCAACATGGTGAAACCCCGTCTCTACTAAAAATACAAAAGTTAGCCGGGTATGGTGGCGCACATCTGTAGACTCAGCTATTCGGGAGGCTAAGGCAGGAGAATCGCTTGAACCCAGAAGGTGGAGGTTGCAGTAAGT